CTACAATAAAACTACATATATACAATTTATTAACAAAAATAGTCTTTAAACGTAACTTGTGCTGGAAACACTATCAAAGAATCTTCGCAAATCACTTTTTTGGGCATACTATTGGATGATAGATGCTCTTGGGAAAATCACACTAATAAAATATGCAATAAAATGAATTCATTTGCCTATGCTCTCTGGCGATTAACAAGGATTAGTAATAAAAAAACAAGCTTACAGGCATATCACGGCTACGTAAGTTCCATTTTGAGATATGGCATTTTGATTTGGGGCAACTCATATCATGCTAAACGGGTTCTTATAGCTCAGAAACAATGCATCAGAGCAATATGTAATGTTGACATACGTATATCTTGCCGACCACTGTACAAAGATTTAAATGTATTAACTGTTCCATGTCAATATATCTACGAAGTGTGCATATTTGTAAGAATGCATATCAAATTATTTAGAAAAAAGGTGAATACTGTAATTTTAACTTAAGGAATCCAAATAATCTCATTCTCCCATACAATACTACAAACTTGTATAGCAGAAATGCCTATTGTATGTCAATAAAAATTTACAATAAGTTGCGGCATGATATAAAAATACTACCGATAAATATGTTCAAGAGAGAGTTAAAAAGATGGCTGATCAATAAGTGTTTTTACTCTGTTGATGAGTACTTTAATTCATGAAGTAGGTAATCGGAGTACTTTGCCCAGAAATTTAAATTTAATTTAATAATGAAGAAAATAAAAATGAAACTGAGAAATATGTACAATCTTATAATAATAAATGGACACTGTTAATTTTGCATGCCAGTTTCTGGTGAAAAGTGTGATACATAAATTATAATTTTTAAAATCCTGTAAACCACTTTTCAGGCAAAATAAAGATATTTGTATTTGTATTTGTTTGTATTTATCAACTAAAAGTAAATTAAAAATATTGTGATCGCGCGATGTACTGTATAGTACTGTAATAACTTCGTAGTATGTTTCGTGTCTTCTTGGTATAAATAAAAACTAAAACATATCTTATTAGTATTTAAAAGAGAAACCTTTGTACTATAGTAATTATACTATTTACGAAAAGCAGGTCGTATCTCCGGAAAATTATTAAGGTTACAACGAATTAGAAAGCGAAGTTAAACCGATTACAAGGTAATTTTGGTTTACATTAATACTTTGGCAATACTTCGGATCATTTCAATAAAGTAGTAGTGAGTCACAATTTTAATAACTCTTTGATAATTACGAGAACTTTGCATACTAGAGGAAGATGCTGTTTTTATAATTTAGAAGGCAATATGCCCATCCCAGCCTAAAGAGAGTGTCGAGGTAGATTTTGTAGAAATAGTTCGCGTCTGTTTTATACCAGCCGTCATGCAGCTTGTTTAGTATTATACAGATAAATTACAGGGTACAGAGACAAGTCTGAAAGATTTCCTCCATACACTAAGATCATATAAATGTTATATACAAAATTTTCTACAATGTTGTATAAGTAGTAACTTTATTACTTCTATCACAATAAATATTTCTGCAGTCAACCGGTTTCTTGCATACTGTATTCCGGTTTGAACTTTGATATTACTAAGTTTGAAGTAATTTGTTGTTATGGATAGCACTATGTATATTAATATACATCTGTTACCCAATTATATTACTAGTTCCCATTCCTAAAAACTAAACTATAGTGACTATAAAGAGATTAGAATTTAATTTTACCAAACCATTGGAAATATAAACCCTGTCTCTGAAAAAAAACATTAACATTACACCAAACATGAATTTATCATCAAGATATTGTGTAACGAAAAATACAATAAATTGAAAACCTTCTTCTGTAGATTGTTATTGCAATTGAGTATTAAAATGATTGAATCGTTTCAAATTATATAAAATGTATGTGTATGTTAAACCAACATTAATATTTGACCATTTAGAAAACAGTTATAAAATTCAAGAGTGTAGGATATTGCGTCACATTAACGTAAAAATTAACGCATAATTATGGTATTCAACATGAGGAAGGTGATCATAGATCTTTCCCATTCGTTGGTCGGCAACTTATGGAGGTTACTGTGATATTTATTGCACATCAGTTTAGCACTTAACTTCCGATGGTTGCGGATTCGATCATCGTGTAATACAAACGTTTATATGCACAAATATGAGTCATTATGTTGGTAGTCACTAGTTTTGATACTTACTTTTTTACGTTTCTAGTATGAGTATACTACAATATATACATATGCTACAAACGCACGCTAACTCTGCTTATTCTGAGACTAAATGGCACTGTGTCATGTTTTTTAACTAATTTTGATAAAAATCAGACTTTCTAGAATTGGCTATATATTATTTAAGTTTATTACGCCAGAACATCGTCATTCATATACGTAATTTTTATGTTTATATGATAATATATTTGTATACTTACAGATATTTTATTAACATCAGTTTAGTTTAGTTTATAAAAAATTTAAAATATGAAAATTCCTAAACCCAGCTTACTATTTGTTATCAATTAAACTCACATACACCATTGAGTTTGATTAACGTAACCTTCAAATTGTAAGCCAAAGACAAGTACATAATTTGCCAAATAAGCGGTTGGCGCTTTAAAAAATGGAACTAATAATGCATAACACAGTATTAAAGATCGGCCTTCGTGTACTGGGGACCCGGGGAGCAGTTACCCAACAGTAATTATAGGACAAACAATAAGTTTTGAAACCGACGCCGTCGGCGGTCGCACGATCTTGAAACCCGTCCGAGACAGTAGTATGCCGCTTTATACTTTGCAAATGATATGAGTTTAGAACTACAATACTAGGTGTACAAATGAAGAATAATTAACCGAGGTAGAGGTATTGTGTTGTTGAAGAGGTGTTGTCTGCGTACCTCAGTCTCACCTATGTCAGCCTCCAAGTGACTTAGAATAGAAGAGAAAATCGTTTATTCACATAAACTTATATTGAAGCACTTTCGAATAGTCATCCCATTTTTTTTTTAATCTAAGATTTATTCGGAAAGTTGTCTCATCAGAAGAGCGATCAGGAAACCTGCGAGTTGCTCTTTTAAATAATTTTATTGTTACCTTACATTTTTAAGTTGTATGAATACAAACTAACAACTAGCACTAATTCAATTAAATACCTGTCTTTTAAGCTGTATTTTAGTGGTTAGCCAATGAAATTACAAAATAATTGGTATGACCTCTTAGTTCTTTAGAATGGTAACGTAAGGTATCACGGGTATCACATGACAAAGTGATCTTCGTAGAGTTGTTCAGGTATATAGGCGGTGGTTACCACTTACCATCAGGTAAGCCATCAATTTGTGCCATTCCCATTACAAAACAAAACATCTTTAGATACAAAAACATTAGTATAAAGTTCTAATTTTGCCCCTGGAACTAGAAAGTTCAATATAATATTATTTATCGAAAATGGAGTAACGTGGTAAGATCCCGTTAATTTATTTTAAATAATTAACATTAAAATAATAACTGCTTCAAATATAAAAATAAATATCGTGTCCTTAACACGATTGTGGATAATTTGCAGTTTCCGACGTATGTTTCAAATGTGATTTCTGAGCGATACGATGAATATCGCATATCCATAATTGTAACTATATATATAAATTACTAGCTGTATCCGCAAAGTCGTCTGCGTGGAATACTAACCTTAAAAATTACTATAATTCCATACAACATTTCCTAACCCTCTTTTTTTGCATTAAAATGTAGTCTATATCCTTTGTCGGGGTCAAAACTATCTATGTACCAAATTTCATTTCAATAGATTCAGTAGTTTTGACGTGAAACCGGGCCATACAGACAGACAGACAGACTTTCGCATTTATAATTTTAGTAAGGATTATATTATTATGAATATCCCGACATTCCGACAGTGTTATAATGCCATGATCGCTGTAGAGCACTGTCTGCATATAAGCTAACACCTACCCGCGTAGGCGTTAGCTTATATGCAGACATAATATTACTCGCTTTCCTTTACATGTCTTATTTTGTTGTTATTATTGAAATCATACATACCATACTTATATTAGTACAGTACAGTTATCATATAGGTACACATATCAATTATAGGAGCATTTGTTACGATTGAAATCCAATCTTTGAATTAATGGAATGAACTAAAACCCTTTAAAGGTATTATCAACGGAACGGCATCTTTGGGTTTACCCTGAAATCGACTACTACTTCAAACGATCGAATTGGTCTCCAGAGTCTGGCATATACTAAAAATGAAGATGGAAGGCATCGAAATATAAAAACATAAATAAAAAATATATTCCTGAAAATTATTTTAGGTCATCTAATAGATGGAATCCAGTGATGGTGTTGTCAGTGTCATGAAACAAAAGTTATAAAAAAAACTGTCATATACATTTTTTGTAAATACATATCTACAAAATAATAATTGAAAACACCCAGACCGTTTCAAAAGATCATAGTCATGATTATAAATTGTTGTATCAAGCGAGGAATCGAATCTGCGATCATTGGGAGTATAGCGGTGGGCTAAACCACCACACCCAAGCCAAGGCTGTGTACAGGGACTGTATCTCGAGATTATTAAAAAGTAAATCCGCGTCATATGCGCCTGTTCAGTACGAAATATTGTATCAAATATCGATTGTATTCTAATCGCTATTAATATAAAGCTCAATTTTAATTACCACTACTAGTACTGTATTATTTAATTAATTGTTTACTTTCGTGAATTTGGTAGATTGTATTCAAATTAAATCTTAAAACCTAAAAGTTGATCATTTGTATAAAAGAGTATAATCCATATTTTCTGCATTTCTAAGTAAATTTTTTTTCGTTCATACATTGGCAAAGAAAATTAAGTTCAATGAAATGTAGAATGAAAAAAAATATATTTAGAAGTATTTATATGAGCTTTATTTGAATACAGATTACTTCTATTATTATTTATATATTTTATTAATAATGTTCTTACATACCTTTTAATAAACTCTGAACGGAAGTTTTGATAGAACTTTTCAAATGCAAATAAATAATTCACCAACAAAAACTTCCTTAAAACACTATAAAATATTAAATGAATAATTTAAAACAATGTAACCACAAATGTATTTAATATTTAATGAATTTTATTTGCAATGAGCGTAAAATACAATTGATGATACTGACATCATCATATGTAATAATTAAAATGAGTTTTGTAGGAAAAAGTTGGTAATACGGTCACCGCGTCTGGCGTGTCATAAGAACAATAGTGTGTCACACTAAAATTGAACGACTGGCCTACTGAACCGTACCTACTCGTACTGTAATCAAGCAGACACTACAGCAGACTTTTAGTATCAGAAATTTAAATTTCATTTTGTCCTATCAAACTGATAGACATTTGGACGCTTTTGGCTATTGTAAATATGGAATGAGTCATCTAAATAATTGGTACACTCTTTATATAGAGTGACATGGACTCTATATTGTTAATTTATTATTGTATTTCTAAAATAAAAATAGCCTAAGTTACTCCTTATTACATCAGCTACTTGCCACAAAAGTCCCATCAAAATCGGTCCAGCCATTTCAGAGATTAACCAGAGAGACAATAATTGTAAAAAAAAATATTTTTGTGTATGTACCGTATTTATATTCATATGCATGTAGTAAAAAACGGTTATTTCAATTTTACAAACAGACTTCAATTTTATTTATATGTATGGTTGTATATAACAGATATACTTACAGATAGTAATCTGTAAGTATCTATACGTAATATATATAATGTAAATAGCCACAACTGGTTTCTCCTTTCTCCTTCCCCCACCCTCTTCCTGGTGCTGCTACTACAAGGAGCATACAAGTACATAATCAATAGCGGCCCCATTATAACTGCTAAAAATATTAGTAGTATAAGTACAGGAGCCAACTGAATATCAACGCTGCAGATTTAACTGAAGCTTTATGCTGAGTTGGTTGCCTCTTCACCTTTACGGCATATAAAGTCACCTCCATTTCTTTTATTTGTTCAGGTATTATTCTGTAACTTATGTATAATATTACATACATATCTTCCGACACCTTAAATTAGTTCGAGTACATATGAATTCAATGTGACAAGGCGAACCTACCGCCGTTTCTGGAATTATTTTTTCATTTTATATCGATGTTTCTTTCCCCGGAGAGTCAGAAATATGACACAGAGTTTCTTTTAGTGTCGCCCTTTTACAACTTACGATCTATTCATTGTAAGTCAGCAAGTAGTAAACCACTAGGCCACAACGCTCTCATATTGTTTAATTAAATTTAAATATGATAATTAAATAGTACTTACAACACATTACAGAATTAAATACTTACATAAGCAGTAAAAGCAGTGCGCGCGCGCATACAAAATAGGCTTGTGTAGTTGGCAAGCGAACTATTGTAGATCGAAAGCAACCTCCCAAACACGAACTACGTAAACTATATGGCAAGTCTTTCGTTCTTTAGTTCCTGAATTTGTTTGGAAAAACGCAAAAATTATTTCTATAAAAATAAAATGACATATTGCATAATAAATACTAATAACTCTCTAAATTATAAATCTCTAACTCGAGCGAAAGAGCTATAAGAACGAGTTCGCAAGAGAGAACAAACTTAATGAAGCGATCCCAATCCCGAACTAGTTTGCACAATACTAATACTAATACAAAATATGTTTTCGTAGCACATATGATTTAGTCTATTGTGCTCGTCCGAGAAAGTGGCTGTCTTTAGACGTTCTATTGTACGGTTTAAATGTGGTTCATTCCACTTCACTCCTCTATTTATGACATCATAATCTACAAGCTGTTCCTTTCGACTTTGCAGTTTTGACATAAAAGAAATCATATATCCGTCCTCGTGATACAATCTACAATATATGTCTTCATATTAAATTTCAATATGATCATATGATGAACGCCGGAGACGGTATAAAGTAATCGTCTGTGGTGGTAATGAGTAGGAATGAAGACAATATCTTAAGGAAAGTGTTAAAGGTGATATGGAAAAATGGGATTAAATAACAAGATGACTGCAAACAAGGTTGAATTGAAGAGAAAAACATATTACGCCGCCCCCAAATAAACGGAATAAGGAAGAAATAGATGATGACGATTAAATTTTATTACGATCCGTTCGGACGTGAAAATGTAACGTATAAACAGACAAACACACTTTCAAATTTATAATATTAGTACGTAAGTAGTAGTTAGACTTACAGGAAAACGTATAAAACATCATGGAAGCAGCCATAAAATTGTACTTATAAGGAAATTAGTTTGTAAATTATGACGGTTATTTCAATTATAGATTCATAAAGATTCCTTTAGCAATAAGACTAAAGAAGATTTAGATACATACTATTAATTTCTTTTATTTAATTGTATAGTGCAAATAAAATTTAATTTGATATACAATTTTTATATTATATATATTTGAAAAAGAAATTGTATTTTATAGCTCTATGTGGAACGAATCAGAGTGACTATTTTTAATAGAATTATATTGTAAACAGTGACAGTAAGACCACGCGTGGGTAAAGGATTGTCGGATATGGCAGCTTTTAAATGATGATGACATGCACACACATTATCACACGTGACGATATATCGGGTATATATACGTATATATCTCGGAATTTATAAGGTAGAGATACTAAACAAAGTTGTCTATATATATGTATAGTAGCTGTGCCAGCAATTTCGTTGGCGGGGTTATCAAAAACATGTCATACATATTTTTGAGTAACTTGAACTGTTTACGGAAGCCTAAATAATTTTCCCCGTTTTGTCAACATTTTTCAATGATGCTTCACTTCTATTGGTCATAACGTAATGTTATATAGCTTAAAGCCTTCCTCGATAAATGGACTATCTAACACAAAAATATTTTTTCAATTCGAAACGGTAATTCCTGAAATTAGCGCGTTTAAACAAATAAACAAACTCTTTAGCTTTATAATATAAATATATTGTAGACTAGCTGCACCCGCGACTTCGTCCGCGTGGAATTTAACTTTATTTTTCTAAAATAAAAGTAGCCTAAGTTACTCCCTATTACATCAACTACCTGCTAAAAAAGTCCCGTCAAAATCGGTCCAGCCATTTCAGAGATTAGCCGGAACAAACATACAGACGGACACAAATTTTAAAAAGTGGTAGTTTGGTTGTTAACGTATTTATATTCATATGCATGTAGTAAAATACGGTTATTTCAATATTACAAACAGACACTCCAATTTTATTTATATGTATTTATTAAATTATATAAAACTAAAGTGTTTGTTTGAACATGTTAATTTCTATAAATAGCATTTAATTAAGAAAATCCTTTTAAGTGTTCTATTGCTAGGTTTGGGGCAGGTTATACTTACTATATATTACTTGCTTTTATCTATGTCCATGTCTGTATTATTATGTTGATGTTTATTAATGACTACACAACTATTAGCTTAGGTGATTATACAAGTATTTATTATGCATTCTCCACTCCTTCTCTACATAAACTAGAAGTGTGCAAAATTTTATTTTCGGGAGGAAAATATATTTTTTTTTATCAATTTTTTTTTTTATAACAAATTTATTTTCCTCCCTCCTCGTAATTTTTGTAAAAGAAATGCCTATTTTTTGCTACACGTGTTAATATTATAATTACCTAAATAAAGTGCTAAATTTATCAAAATATACTACTGACATTTCTTTCAAATTAGACCGAGTGTGAAACCCGTGCACAGCTAGTTAATTACATATATATTATATGTACTTACCTACATATTATTGCATATAGAATCAATCAACGTACGCTACGAACTCAATAACTACACATATTGCCCCAATCATTGGGCGTGTAGTTCCGCTCTGAATTACGAATAACTTGATCTTAGAAACTAGTTTAACATTTGCTTCGTAATATGCAAAATATTACGAATGTTAAGCTATCGCGAATTATTTGTGCTTACGTTATTCTCTTTATATGTCATTATGGAATTACTTTACATTCTTACATATAAATAAGTAGGTCATAAATCGAAGACCTCTATGGTAATTATTAGGTATATATGTATAGCTTTTAGTGTATTATATTTAACTAGTGGTTCACCCCAGTTTCACATGGATAGGGGAGGAGGGGGGAATTGTGGACGCTTAAGCGGCATTACAAATAAAATTCATACTATTAATAATAATCAGTATGTCTTTACTAATTATTAAACTATAGTTAAATAACCTATAAAATCAATATTAATATATAACAAAATCTATATAACAAAAATTTTAAAAAATATTAATTTTAACACAAAGCACTCACCAATATTAAACCCTTCGATATTGATGTCCCCTATAAAACTGTAGTACGTTACTTTGCTCTATTGTCAATAATTTTCGCAGCAGACGCGATATAAGGATTTTTCATATTTTTTTCAAACGTCATTTTCATACGAATCTTTAACATTTTTTTAAATATTCTATCGCCTAAGTTCGTCAGTAATCATGTAGGATTCTAAATTTACATATACATATTATATATAAATGGGATATTTACCGTGTATGTTTGAATATTTATGAACAAAGTTTAATATATATAAGTTAAATATACTACAAATATTATTATTTATTTTTAATATGTATAAATATCCATATACAATTTGAAATACATAGTTATTAAGTTCTAAATTATACATTATTTATTTTAGGTTTTCAAAGATATGAAGACAATGTTAAGATTTATCTAAGTATTTCATTTTGTATTTTACGTATTTGGAAAGTGACTGTGTTATAAAAAAAAAGTACTATTTGCATAATATACAAATAACAAATTAAAGTGCCAATTACGGAGTTGAGAGTACAGAAATTACTTCATAGTAAGTATGAGTGCCATATACGCATTCCAAAAGCGTAGCAAAGTGGACAAGTGGAAATTGTAACATTATACATATATAATTTGCACAGTTAGAAAAATGCCCACTCTGTTCAAGAAATGACGGCCT